CCCTGAAGCTGCTGGTAGACATCACGGTTGGAATTATCAAAGGTTTTTGACACCTGAGAGACACCGTAGCAACTCCTTTGCGTTTGGAAGCGGGGGGTGGGGGTGGGGGGAGGACCAGGGAGGATGATTCAACCACTCAACCACTAGATGTCACTGAAAACAACAAATCCTATACACTGTGCCTTTAAGGGTTGGGCGACAAGCAAAACCTTTTCAAGTGTCTATTCAAACCACCGACAGCTTGGGATGTATTTGTCCAGGTATCTTTAAGGCAACTTTAAGTGTTTTTGTTTGTTTAATGAATGAATATACTGTATATCAGATCTGTGTAAACAGCTATGAGTTGACAATGAAGCTACAGCCTCATCATGCGGAGAACAAACCTGTGGTCATCTTCAAACATGATGTCCTTTTTGCCACTGCACATTACATTTTTGAAAGCTGCAACCTGCAGAATAATGTTTTCAAACTACCTATGCTCCTGACAAGCAGAGTAAGAGAGAAGGACAGGAGGAAATGAGTTGCAGATAATTATTGTTGGTTTACTCAGAAATCCTAACTGGTCACAGCTTCATTGTTCTGGACAAAACCCCTACCCCAGTTAATGCACACTGACGAAGGAACTGGGAGATTCAATCTATTAGGCTTCTTTCACTGCTGCCTGAAATCACAGATGTGAGCGCTGCAGGAGGAATCTGCAACAGGCAGCTTTTACTGATGACAATATTATAATTAAAACAAGTATATTTGTTTATTCATCACAGAGTCTGTGTAGAACAGCTGACAGTTGATTGAGAAAGCTGCATCGTGTTGCTTAATAAATGAAACCCTTTGCTCCACAGTGCAGCTTCATTGTGTCTGGTTGATTTAAAAAAAAAAAACTTGAGGACTGTTTCCTATTTGTCTGTTTAATAAGGCAACCAGAAAACACTTCATCACAGGTCCAAACCTATGTTCTCTGGTCCAATGCCTGCACTGTAATTTTCTATATTTTTCATTTACTGAAAGACGTTTGAAGGAGAGCCAAGCATCTTTCACAATTTTCTTTATTAACTCCAGTAGTTCATAGGTACTGGGGAACATAAGAATGACCCTGTAAATAAGTTATATAGTTCCTGGAGTGGATTTTTTTTATGTTTTTGTTGCATTTTTGTCGTAGTTTGATCTTTTTACTATATATATATAAAGTTCATTATTTTCTGTAATGTACTGATAAACATTAAACTTTCATATATTTTAGATTCATTGCACACCAACTGAAGTAGTTCAAGCCTTTTATTGTTTTAAAATTCATGATTTTGGCAAAAAAGTAAAGAAAAATCAAAAATCCCTATCTCAAAAAATTAGCATATTTCATCCGACCAATAAAAGAAAAGTGTTTTTAATACACAAAAAGTCGACCTTCAAATAATTATGTTCAGTTATGCACTCAATACTTGGTGGGTAATCATTTTGCAGAAATGACTGCTTCAATGTAGCGTGGCATGGAGGCAATCAGCCTGTGGCACTGCTGAGGTGTTATGGAGGCCCAGGATGCTTCGATAGTGGCCTTAAACTCATCCAGAGTGTTGGGTCTTGTGTCTTAAACTCATCCAGAGTGTTGGGTCTTGTGTCTTAAACTCATCCAGAGTGTTGGGTCTTGTGTCTTAAGCTCATCCAGAGTGTTGGGTCTTGTGTCTTAAGCTCATCCAGAGTGTTGGGTCTTGTGTCTTAAGCTCACCCAGAGTGTTGGGTCTTGTGTCTTAAGCTCACCCAGAGTGTTGGGTCTTGTCTCTCAACTTTCTCTTCACAATATCCCACAGACTCTCTCTGGGGTTCAGGTCAGGAGAGTTGGCAGGCCAATTGAGCCCAGTAATACCATGGTCAGTAAACCATTTACCAGTGGTTTTGGCACTGTGAGCAGGTGCCAGGTCGTGCTGAAAAATGAAATCTTCATCTCCTTAAAGCTTTTCAGCACATGGAAGCATGAAGTGCTCCAAAATCTCCTGATAGCTGCATTGACCCTGGCCTTGATAAAACACAGTGGACCAACACCAGCAGCTGACATGGACCCCAGACCATCACTGACTGACAACTCTTCTCGTTGTGCAGCGTTTTCTGCCACACTTTTTCCTTCCCACAGACTTCCCACTGAGGTGCCTTGATACAGCACTCTGTGGGAACAGTGTGGAGCAGACAGAGTCACGTTAGCCTGGTTAAAACCAACCCCTTGTCCTTCGCTTTGCTTCAGTGAAGGGAAACTAGAATTGAGCAGAACTGTGTAGGAAGGCAAGGGCCAGGTTAGAGTCGCATGCCTCATGTTCAAAAAATAGCCTGAATGAAGGTCCCCATTGGATACCCCCCTAAACAGTCAGAATTCAGCGAGACTGCAAAGAAAAACTTAAATCGAGTCACAGACTAGTTTCCAACAAATGCAGTTCAGCAGTATGATAATATGCAAAGGGATTAATTTCATTCAAAACTACAGTAAATTTCCAGTGCCTATAAAAATGATTCACAGACACTCAATGTGTTATGCTTTTATTGCTGTTATAAATCAATCATGGTCAATATACAGTGGTTTGCAAAAGTATTCATACCCCTTGAACTTTTCCATATTTTGTCACATTACAAC